AAAAAAGAGTGCAAGTAGATGATTGCATTATTTGGAGTAGGCCAGAGTTTTCCAACTTTTCTGGTTTAAATTTATTTTTCCATTCTGCATCCCTTGCTCATCAACATTATATATACAAGATTTCTTTTGACTGTGATCAATAGTAAATATGTACTATTACAGAAATTATTATAGTTTGGATATGGGCAGAATTCCAAGTTTTTTATTTTTTCCAATCAGGAATTTCCATATTACTTTCTAAAATGCTAAAAAAATTTCTGCTAGACCAAGAAATTAAGCTATCAAATAAATAGTTATTCTCAGGAAAAAAAAAGGGGAAGAAAGAAAAAATGGTATCATAAACTTGTAAGGCTGAAGTTTTCAGGCTAAAAGAAGATGAGAAACAGAAATATCTAATATTGATGATTTGGTTAAATCTATTTTAGCTTATTTCCATGAGCCGATATGAAAGTGCATTTAATTGTATGGATGATGTTATAACAGAACGTAGAACATCCTTAAACATTGATTAGCCTAGACGCTGTGAAGACTGAAATACTATTTATTTTAAATGAACAAAAATACGTGTGAAATTTTTTGATCAGGAAATTTCTTTCAGGAACTAATAAGTAAAGATTTTTATTAATAATTTATGGAATAGCCAGACAGCTTACCAAAATTCTTTACATACTTTTGTTTTCCACAAACATCACATCCTAGCAATTCAGCGGCCAGTAGTCCCGTGGTTCCTTTTTATTACTCATTTTGGCTTTTTTACATCATTTATTAACTTCTGGTAAATAGTTTTGATTCTTTGAAATGAATCGGAAATGTTATTTCATACTTTGTCATTCTATAGAATGCCTAAGAAATATGTGAAATGTTAATTGTTCAATACATTACGGCTAGTTTAGGCATTATATACACTGCTATAACCGCAATCTAGATAATGCCGGTTACATCACATTACCTTATTTAATGCGAATCTAATGCCATGAACTCCACATTTTAAAGCTTTAATAATAAAAAAATTGTTTGTTGGCGATGGAATGCGCATCAATGATATGAGGAATTTATTAATCTTATTTAACAACATGGAGTTGTAATCAACTATCAATTAATGAAATATAAATTTTATTTAATTTAGATACCTATTTTATACAAATGGATTTATACATAAAGTACAGAACTGTATTCCTATTAGTGGGCAATTGTTATGTGAAACAATCATGTTATTACCACACCATATATACGGTACCTATCGTAAAATATGAACATGAAATAAACGTAACATTTCTATCTAGCTACAGTTCTACATTAGTGATTAATAGTAAACGTCTTATCACTGTTTTCATCACTGGAATCCTCGGCGCTCTTTACGTCAGACGCAGGTTCATTTCTTCTTTCCTCATCATCATCATCGTCATCCTCACGTTCAAAGCACGTCATCGGTTTTCACTGCGTTCAATGAATTGAAATGCCATTTCTCTTGAAAGATTTCACAATCTTTGGTGCTTTGATGCTTTCCAGGCAGCGAAACCAGTGCCACTGTGCGCTGCAGCACGCTTAATTTTTCCTGTCGGGGGTCATTCAAATTCGTTTGGCTCACAAAACTATTTCGTACTCCGCCTGATGTACCCTTAAAAGGTTTATTTATACTAACGCCAGGGTGTACATAGACGTCATCCCTCCGGAATGATAACAAAATCACTGCCTACGTGCATCTTCTTTTTTACGTCATCCCCCCTTCTCTTAGTTTCGAATCATCTGGGAACAGCTTTTGATTCTTATGGTGTTAGGGCTGTTTTCCGTTGAAGATTAAAACGGGCACCCGTTCGCTGTTATTGCTAGCATCACTGTTATGATTATTGTTTTCCATCCGAAGATTGATGCTAACTTCCTCAGCCTCTCCGTAATGTGTAGTTACGAGGCGTATCAACAAATTGGCATCTCGTCGAGTGCCAATTGAAATTCTTTCTTCCAAGCGTGATACATACGTATCGCTGAATGATTAGTAGTTTTCCCATCAAAATCTGCAAGAACTTTTGGCATATTTTTTACGGTGTCTTGAGATAAGCCCATCCGCTCATAAAACCAATCCACCTCCACTGCTAGCTTAAACTCTTGTTTCGGTATCCCTCAGAACTTCAGCCTCCCTTTTGCTTTATTTTCTCAGGTGTCACTATCACAGGTGTCTATTCTTCCTCTTTCAAGTACAAACCACTTTTTCAATTTAGTGTCTTCTTTGCGAGGTCGCAGTGAATTTCTTTCTTTCTACCTTTAGTTGCAAACAGTGCTAATTTCTGTGCCGCCACAAGCGCATTGCTCTCGCTTGTTGAACTCTCTCCCTGCCTTTCTATGCCATTTTTTAAGCACAAACAATTACTTATGTTTGAAATAGCGTCATATGACATTCTTCTCTGCTTGCCCTCCATTTCGTGACTTCGTACTCTGCAGTTTGTATCCTCTATGCAATAATGTGTCAACAATAAATGTTACGGTAAATGTAGTCGAGAAATACAGTAATCCATTGTTATGATTTAAATTTGGTTGACGTCAACGCCGAACTTTGCACTCGAATCTAATGCGCCATCGAATCCAATGCACACCCCAATTTTGAAAACTACATTTGGCCAAAAACGATGCGCATTAGATTCGCGTAAATACGGTATATAAAACATTGAGTCTGAACACTTAAGATATATTTTCATACTTTTTAAATATACAAACTCACCTATCTAACATTTCCAGAGGGAATAGTGCACAAGGTCTATTCTAATTTTAATTAAGAGTAGCCCAGTGGGCAGTGTGCAAATGTAGTCTATTCAAAAAAATTTATTTTAGTTTATTTTTAAGTGTACTTACACTTACAATTCAATAAACTGTTGTATGTCAGCAATTTAGGACTCTCAGTTATTCATATGCATTTAATGAATATAATATTTTTGATTTAGATCAACATAGAAAGTTGATGCTGAAATAATTTGATGTAAAATGCTTAGTTCAAATTTTCAAAATATTTTTTTTTATCACGCACTTCCATAAAAAATTAGTTCCACACTAATTTCATTTTTAACACATAAAATATAAAACTAAAAAATTAGGAGCAGTCTTGTTGTAGTTTATGCAATTTTCATATATGCAGCAGATATTTATTATTAATTTTTTGTGTTTTCAGAGTAAAACATTAAGTAAGTATCTAAGAATTTATTTTAAATTTACTTAAGGATCAGTGTAATAGATGTTAATTTTTTTTTCTCACATTAATTATGTGGTAAAACTACTTATTTATTGTATCTATTTATCTTTTTATGGGGGTATTTTGCTTTCATCCTAAAGGAATATCATGCAAATCAGTGTTTGAGACAATTTTGTTTATATGCCCTCAATGGATGTAATTTACTTCACAGGAACTTTGAATTTGATCGATTTGGCAGGAAGTGAGAGAGTGAAAGAATCTGGTTCTGCAGGCGAGAGATTAACTGAAGCTAAAGCTATAAATAAATCTTTATCAAATCTTGGAAATGTCATCATGTCCTTATCCCGAAAGGTATTGTTTTTACTTAGATGTTTTTTTTTTTTTTTTTTTTTTTTTTTTTTTATGTGTATATTTTAGTATTATATACATATATTGAACTTGAGTCTCAATACTTAAAGATATATATTTTCATAGTTTTTAAATATGCAAACTGACCCATTTAACCTTTCCGGAGGGATAGTACCAACTTCAATCTAATTTGAGTGGTGTCCCAGTGGCAGTGTGCAAATGGAATCTATTCAAAAAAATTATTTTATTTTTTTAAGTGTACTTACAATTCAATAAACTGTCATACATCAGCAATTTAGGATTCCCAGTTATTCATATGCATTAAATAAATATAATACTTTTGATTTAAATCAACATGAAAAGTGGATGTTGAAATAATTTGATGTAAAATGCTTAGTTCAAATTTTCAAAATAATTTTTATCATGCACTTCCATATAAAATTAATTTTATACTAATTTCATTATTTTGTTTTTAACACATAAAATATTTCCATGAAATGTGGAATGATAAATATTTGTAAAAGAAAGGCCTTCTAATATGACTAAAATGTTAAACACTGTTGTTTCATAATTCCTCCTTCCCTATGTATAATATTAACATGAGTTATTTTCCCTAAAATGTCCATACATATCTTCTGTCAAGCAGATCGTCCTGGATGATGAACTAAAGTGAATTATCCAACAAAAAGAAAATTTGTTTATGCATATACCTGTATAAATAAATTTTAGTTGCTCTTTGTAAATTTTATGTGTAATTTAAAACTAGATCTTAAAAAATATACTAATTTCCAAATTATATTTAATCTTTTTATACATATACATCTGTATATATCTTGGGCATACAGAAAAACAGTAAAATTTTCAGTCAACCTCAACAAACCTTCCAAATAATAATTAGTGGCGGTGATTACTCACATGGCTGAATTTATTTTCCTTTAAAATATCATTTTACATTGTTTACGAAATTGTATTTATTTATTTATTTTTTGAATTTTCTTAACTACTGCTTAAGATTCAAAGATTGAATTTTAAAAAATAAGAGTTTGATTGAAATGGCAGCTACTAATACAGAATTTTTAAACAAACTGCTGACGAATATTGATTTTTTTTTTTTTTTTCTCCTCATAATCCAGCAGCAAACTGATAGCCACGTATAGGGTAAAAACAAATTTACTTTGATTAGAGAAATTTTGCTTTTAAAATGCTATTTTAATGGCAGTTATTTGGTAGGGAGGGGGAGTACTGACAGGGAGTAATTCACTAGGAGTACTTGCTTATGAAAACAATAGGTTCTACACTGCTCAAGACTGAAATTCAATACCAGTGTGGAAAATAATAGATACAGTACAAAGTTCCAGACGTGAACTCTTTGGCATGTAGAAATAATAAAATTAAAAATATGAAATCATGATTTATGAAATAATGAAGCATTTATGATCAAAATTTACAAAAAAAAATTAATAATTTGTTTTTACTTTATTAAACATTTCTTTCAAGTTGTTTAAGTTGCTTCATTTTTTGTGCTAATACTTTCTCTTTAATTCTAGAGACAGACATAATTTCTTATTCAGATACAAAATTCCATTGTTGAAGTCCTGTAATTGCCATATCTAGAATTCTGACGAACTTGTCAATCGAAATTTTTTCGTCACTTTGTCTGTAGGGGTATTTTCTGGATCTAGAATCATACTACAGATTTCACCATCCGATAATTGATTGATGACTGAGGAACATTGTCATCACAGTGGAAACTTCTTTTATATCCTCTTCATTTATTATCGCTTTTCCACATTTCTTTTCAAAATGTACTAATTGGAAAATTTCACCTTTGGTTTGCGATATCCGAAAACCTTCAGATTCGCAGCTATCATCATAAAATATAGCTATCGTTTACTATACATATTTGGCTATGTACTATTACGAAATCGGCAACTAAAGACAAGTTGTTCTGCTAAATTTTATCTTACTTCTATCGCGCAGAGACAGTTAAGCCTGAATCGTATTAGTTTAGTTATTTATTATACTTACACATATTTCTTGCACATGCTTAATACTTATCTGAGTCCTGAATAAATAAATTCTAACATATACTTAAGGCTTATTGAGGGCTGGCACTTGATGCAGTCTTTGTGGCTCCTAAATTCATTAATCAATTTTAATGGTGTGACAGAAAGCAGATGGAGTTAAGCTGACCACATGCCCCCTACTGAAACTATGAAATCCCCCCTTCCATCTGAAAACCCCTCCTCTAGACTTAGATTGGTATATGAAGTTTTGTCCTTATAGTAAAATATTTAACAGTTTTTCTTATCTAAGTAATTCTTTATGAAATGCTTTCAAGGATTATAAAAGAAACCTGAATTTTGACCACAAATTCAAACCTTTATATCGACAAGTCTGATTCATAATTTCATTTAATATTGAGTATCTTACCATTATTCATTGAAAGATTTTTAATATGTTTGGTTTCTATACACAACCTAGACACCTTCATTTGTTTAGTACTTGTTCAATGAAATGATGGTTAAGTGGTGCTGAGGCAAAGAAGGCTTCCATCCACAAAAAATTTGGACATCTTAAGAAATCTTCTTTTAAAGCTCATAAAATGCTTTAATTATGGCATGCTAACTACTTTTCCATTGTAGTCTAGCCATTAACTTTTATTCAGTTAGTAAACAGTGAATGTTTGTTTTATTTGTTTTTAAGTAATATTGTATATTTTTGATTTCTAGGATAGTCATATCCCATACAGGGATAGCAAATTAACTCATTTACTGGCCAATTCCTTAGGAGGAAATAGTAAGACGCTTATGTTTGTGAATATCAATCCAGACAGTGAAAATTTGAGTGAAACAATAAATTCTTTAAGATTTGCTACAAAGGTAAGTTATTTCAAAATCTTCATTATATTTTAGATAATTTGTTCTTTACATTATGTCATAAAATAGTCATTGTAAAATTTCTTCAATGTGTTTTGGCTCACCACGTCTTTCCCAGGGTATTTTTTGCTGAGAAGATCTTTTGGATAAACTATCTTTGTCATTGAAATTTCAAAAAGTAGTTCTGAGTGTAATTGTTTAAACTTTCAATTGGCTTAAAAAAGAATAAAACAGAATAACTCAGAACTGAAAATTCAAAGCTGTTTATTAAAGTAGAGCAACAAAGATGGAATTGCACAGACTCAAATAAAAATATTAAATAGTGTTTATTAAAAGAATTGGCCTAATGGGATGTCTAATATGACAGTTTGTCTGTATTTAACTGCATTTTTATTGACAGTTTACTGAAGTTCCTATACTCAGTTATTTAGTGACAGGTTTATATCCAAATGTAGATGTTTTATTCCTTCCACTGAACACCACTTCCTTAATCCAATCAAGGAATCATAAAAGTATTCAAAACCTATTACATCAGTCATATTTATGTTTGTGCAAATAAAGCACTCAACCAGGAGGGGACTTCACCCCTGGAGGAATTTCTTGGTATTGGGGGGAGGTCAATATTTTATTTATCTGTTAAATATTTGCTCTTAACTTACTAATATAGAAAACCACTTAACTACTACTAAAATTCTGGTATTTATCAACATTTTCTGTATTTTTTGTTGCTTAATTTATAAAATACATTAAAAAATAATCTATATCTAAATAAATGTATATATGTATTTTTCAAGTTTGGAAAAGAAGGGGTGAATAATTTAGCAGTGGTGAAAGGGGTGCATAGAACAAAAAAGTTTGAATTTCCATTCATTGAAAATGAAGCCAAAGAAAGCATGCCAATTGCAAAAGCAGTGGGCAGTGAAGGATTTTCAGATATGGGAGAAAGAGAAATGAAAGAATTGCTTAAGAATGGCAATCGTAAAATGGCAAATTAAGAATTGATTAATCTTATAACACTAGCTGACAATGAAAGCAGCAATACTGAAGAAATTAAAGAGCTTCTAACATACACAAGAAGTTAAATGAATTTTTTAAAAAGGCACAGGAACTGTCTGATTTTGTAATGGAGATTGATACAAAAAAGGCACAGGAACTGTCTGATTTTGTAATGGAGATTGATACAAATAAAGGAAAGAAAGAGAACACTTTATGAGAGGTATGAAAAAAAAATTACATTCCTTACTTCTTAAGCAGTAACAGAAATCCTTTCAAATAGCGTTTCTTTCATTTTCTTTTTTTAAATAAATAATATTTAGGTTTGTACAAATTATACATACTTCTTAATCTGAACAATGCCTAACCCTTTTTAGAAATTTAATTTGTGGAACACAGTTTTGCTGTACGCGCTATGTGTTAATGACTTAACCCTGTATTCGGTAAAGGTTTACCGTACTTGTAATGTTATCTAGATGTTTTCCCCCAAAATGATGATAGATGTCTTTCTTAAATTAAGCTACACAAAAACAATTTTGGTGGAGCAGAATCTTATTTGGATAAACAACAGTGAATCAACATAGTCCGAAGCTTCAATTTAAAACATTTTGTGAAACTGCAAGTAATACAATAAACATGGATCAACTTTTCGATGGAATAGTGACTGCAAAAGTTTTTTTTGTCTTCTAACTATGAAATTTGGAAAAATAAAATTTCTGGAGAAAATTGGATACAGCTTTTCAATCATTTAAAAGAAAAAAATATTTTGTTGTTCAATCTTGCTCAAACGGTATAGAATGCATTTTTAACATACTGGGTTAGTTGAAAGAAACAGTGATGTCATATAGTCTGAAGAAGAGATAGAACAGCTGAATTAACTGTAAAAGGTTTAGAAAGCTGCAAATTTAACAATGAACTAAACTGTAGGGAATTTTTATATGCCATTTATTTATCCTAGCAGGTTTTATTCTCCATTTTGGGTGTTTTCTCAAAATTGTCCCAGTTAGAGCAAAAAATGTAATGGTAAGCCTGTAATATTAAATAAACGTTTTTTAAAAATGTTCTTTTGTAAGTTTTGATATTCAAGTTTGTTTTAAGAATCTTAATTATTTGTTTGTTGATGGTTTAAATAACTTTAATTGTTTAATATTTTAAAATAAGTCTAAAACCCAGGAAGAAATCTGGATGAATGAAACATTGTTATTCTTTAAAGTAAATCTGCAAATGAACCAAAGAACATAGTGATGTTTGGTACTTCTTTGCTCATAATTTTTAAAGTTAATAAGGACCAAGTGCATTATGCATCATAAGAGTAATCTCTGTTAGAATCGGCCACAAAGGGCTGAGCTGTAAAGTCATCGAACACTAGTTGTTTGGCTCAGAGCTCAAATCCTGGGAAATGAGCTGGTTGCAGGGCCATTCTCATGGTTTCTCCCATGTGTAATATGTATATGAGCTACACTGGAGAGCCAAAACTTTATAACCACCTACTCAATAATGCATTGTGCAAACTTTGGTCTGCAAAACACTTGCAGCTCATCTTGGCCTGGATGCCACAAGTTCTTGGTAGATGACTGGAGATAGGTTGTACCAAATGTCTAAGCAGCGGTCACACATAGTTGAGATATTCCAACATGTTGGTGTTTAAGCTTTGAGCTGCCGCTCCATGACATCTCGAATGTGCTGTATCAGGTTAAGATCCAGCAAGTTAAGTGACCAGTACATTAATTGGAATTCATCCTTATGCTCCTCGAACCACTCCAACAAAATACAAGCCTTGTGACATGGAACGTTATCCTGCTGGAAGATTCCAGTTGGGAAGACAGATGCCACTTGAGAATACTTGCTGGATGAACTGAATTCAAAAACAAAGAAGAGGTTTCTTATTTCATGACATAATATCAAAGCACAGGCTCATAATATACCATTTTCCTTTCAATTAATGATATATCAGTGAGGATATTTATAAGCAAATTTTTTACAGTAACTGCTGCAGATATGTTGATTGTATTGCTCTGTTATAAAAGATTGAGAACTCATGATAAGTTGATCTAACATATGTCTGTAAGAAAAAAACTAAGTGCAAGTGATTATAAGAAGCTGTTTCTGTTTTCTCAGAAAAAAGCATCACTATCCATCACACACTTTTATTTATTTTGAAATGCACTAGTACTCAAAAAATAAGCAACAAAAAATGAATAAAAGCAAATCTATTTAATAGATTTTAGTGAAGTTTACAAAATAAGTTTTTGGAGACAGAACAGATAAAATATATGTATGTGTAAATTTTGACTAGCTAAATTATAACTATGCTAAAAATACATACATAAATTTTGACATTCAAATTTGGCATTAAGAATATACATGGTGAATACATTTATCAACTAGAATATTTCTAGTTAAAACATTCCCCTGACAACATTTCAATTTAATTTTATTTGACCCTGTTTCAGTTTGATTTTAAAAATATTGCTGATTATTTATTCTTGCAGTAAAGCCTATTCTGGTAGAAGTGCTCGTGAAAGATTGGACACAGTAACTTATAATCTGTCTTTCTAACATCTTCTGTGCATGATCTGTCAGATTCAGATTAATGATCCTAAAAGGAACTGCATATGTAGTTTGCATTCCACATATATCTGAATGAAGCAAACTAGATACCACATAGCTAAAATAAACAGTTCATTTTCGGTGTTGGGTGTGGAATTTCATCACAATATCAATCACTTTATACTAAATTGACAGCAAAAGTATGAAAGCTACTGAAGACATTCGCTTTTATTCTGCCCAGAAAAACAAACCACTTCCTTTACAATGGCCTCTCAATTTTTTTCACTTGTGCCAGGCTCTCTCTCTCTCTCCGTATCAAAACTCTTCAAAAATCTGTTTAATGGTTAAACCATGGCTAGTCAGTAAATAGTACTTATCTGATTCCACTATCAGTGTTCATGGGCACAGTTCTGTTGGATTTGGATATGAGATGGTCACAAGAGGATACAGATAGCAGGTCTTGAACTTGATTGGAGATTGGAATGCATGAAGCCTTTCTGAAGTACCGATGACAGTCTAAGAATGAATTTTGCCTAATTTTAAAATTCAAACTTGATATGTTACTGTTTATTCAGTAAGCTTTATAATTTTTCATTTTTATTGTTTGCATACTAATATATTTGTACTGAAAACTTAATAGCAATTGTGAAATGCTCTTAATTATTGCTATTTTGTTGGAGTTTTGTTTTCTTGACTTACGTTGTTATGAAATATTGTGTTTGAAAAATGATTATTTTGAAAAGTTAAGTGTGACTGCTTTCCTGAAGATTCCAGAAACATTTAATCTCTTTCAAAATGCGGTCTTAAATAGGCCATATCTGTTTTGGATGCAGCTGGTAAAAAGTAATTGTAATAGAGAATTTATTGATCTTTTTTAACCTGTGCTTGTTAATTAATGTGTAAGTGCCTGTACTTGTGATTTTTCATAATGTTTTGACTCAGTGCATATACTATTGATAACAATGCGTAAGTGTTATTGAAATTATACTGAAAATTTTATATTTTAATATGAAAAATGAATTATTCTCTCTCTAAAACTTTCTTTTTTCTCCTTTCAGGTTAACCAATGCAATATTGGGACTGCGCAAAAAAGAGTAAAATAAATTTCAGTTAAATCTTCCGAAGAAAAATTTTAAAGATATGGCATAAAATTTTAACTGACCTTCAATATTTATTTCAAGTGGCTAATATAACTTCAATATAAACTATTAATCTGACATGTAGAGAAGTTACATGTAACTGTACATACTTTGTTTTTATATAATAAATGTATTTGTATTAAATATATGCCAGTGTGTGTTCTATAAAATGACCTTTTATCATTTTAATGCATTTTAGAGCATCAGAATGTTTTTATATGAAAATTTCATGGTAGTGTTTAAGTCTAGATAAATTGTGTTAATTACAATGTTAAATATGTTCAATAAGTCTGACACTCGTACAAAAAATTTATAAAACTGTATATAATTTTTTTAATGCTTAGTGAATAATCCTTGCTATTTTTTTAGTTTGTTTTTTAAATAAATATACAAACCAGATATGTACAATTTCATATTGTTCATAATTTTTTGCTAGAAGAACTTATAAAGTTTGAAACTGTACTTTTCTGTTAGAATCTAGAAAATCTAAATCTCAAGCTCTAATAGTCTTCAATATATTCACTTGGTTTTTTTTCAAAAAATTTCAAACATTACAAGTAACGATTATGTTTTCCTTAAAATACAAGATACATTAGAAGAAAACTCTAAAAATAAAATAAAAAATAATTTTAAGTGTGTTCATACTAGGATTGTGGTTTGTAACAAAACTCATACCATGAATTTAGATATCTTTGGAGGAGGGGGAAGGTAGAGATATCAACCTTTAGATGAAATTTAACAAATAAAATCTTTCTTGAATGTCATACAATCGCTTACTCTACATCTCTCTAGGACTGTATCAGCACCATGTTGCAAGCATTAATGTATAACATGGGTTAATATCAATTAAATCTTTGTGTACATTCTTTTTAAGATTAAAAAAAAATATATTCATTCCAGTCTTCTGAGTAAGACATCAAAACTGACATCTGTATTGCCACTACTGAAAGTAATACATGTAGAAATTGTGTTTTTATAGTCTCAGAAAAGATCTCAAGTTTCATCAGAACATGTGTTTCCCTTTCATAGCACCTGAAATGCAAGTATATAAATATGTGTATGATTCATAGATAGCTACAAGGAATGCTTATTTAACATACTTGTAATTTGACTAAATTCTTCACACAGCATTTCCTTCTGAATAGGTAGTGCAAAGTGGCTACACAATTACATCCTATTTACTGAAATGCATGTGCAAATGCCATCTATCTATACATGTCCACGTATGTGAAAGATTACAGGAGAGCAAGGTCGGTGTTCACATATGTGCACATCAATGTATGACCAGTGAGTGGAGTCATAAAAGTTTATATGTTCAGTTACTCGCATGATGCTAATTGGGAGGAGGATGAAATACTCAAAATATTAGACTTCTGATGTATGGCAACATCTTATGACTTATTAGAAAACAATATATTTAGAGCTTTTATTAAAAATAAAACACATTTGACAGTTTTATCAAAATAACTTGGATAACCAGGAAATATAAAAAAAAAAAGGGTAGTCTCACATTCAATGTAATAAGACTTTTCTATAATCATAATTTATGATACACAGCAGAAAATAGACTTTATATGCAAGGGAAGTATACCAACCTAAAATTATATAAAACCCAACCTTCCAATAGTTTTAATTTAAATATTTATTTACATCCCTTCTTTACCTTATAACACAGCAGTCTTAAAATGTATCCAAAAATTTCAAAGCATGTTTGAATGTGCTAACAATATAAAGTCATTCACTTTCTAAATTCAATCACTTCCATTCATTCTCATTTATAAAGCCAAGGATAATTCCAAAATGCCAAACATGTACATAAAAAAAAAAGATAAATGAAGTACTAGTAATTAAATGCTTTATATAACAAATTCAAAGTGCCTACATGTATATTTATGATGTGTTTTCCTCTAGAAGAGAGGCAGTGTTTACAAGGAGCATATGTATTTTTCCCCATTTATGACAGGGTTCATGCAGTCCTTAATTTTAATCATCTGAAATTTCTGTGTGTTTTTATGATTGCCATTTTGAGTGTGAATTAGCATTTTAAAGGAATATTTTTGGTGATTAACTGACAAATATAATTATTTTTTGAATGGGTTTGTGGGTTATAATTGGTTCCTATTTCTAGTATAAATAGTGGGATACTCCAGTTTTGGGGCTACAAGTGAAGAAGCATTTCAAAATTATTTCATTTTTTCTAATGAAGAACTCTTAAACAACTTTTCATTTTTGAGGATATGAATTGTTTTATTAAACGGTCCTAAATTTGGTGACTTATCAAAGTTTTGAAGATTTTAAGATTAGTTTTTATATTTTCAAGATTTTAAGATTTATTCAAAAATTTTAGAATTCTGACATCTGGGAATTTTTTTATGACTCTTTTTAAAACATTATATAGCATTGATAAATTTCATTAAAGCAATGCTAATATATTGAAATTATAAATAAGAAATAACATTGCAATAAAGCATTTTTATTTTTCACTCTCATATTATTAAGTGGCATTACTTTCCATTTTGGCGACTTATTATACAATATTTTGAAACTGAAAAATAATAATAATAATAATAATAATTACCATAAAGCACAATTTATGAAACAATTCTTAGCAAAAGCAAAATAGCTACATAATTAATTAAAAATGCCTTCTTTTTAATTTTTTTCATGGTAAGAGTTTTTCCCATGAATATTCAGAATTCTCAGAATATGCATCAGTTTTTTCCCATATGCCCTCCCCAAAATATTTCTGGCTTTTAGCTATTACAGAATTGGTAGGGGTAATTTTTCTTTAGGATTTTAAAATGCAAATTTGGAAAGTTTAGAAGGATTTGAAGTCCCATGATTCTAAAAGATTCCAGAAAAGTGTGACGAAGTGAAAAATATCTTCAGGATATTAGCATGTGATGGGTGTATTTTATAGAAAGTTTGCTGCGAATTTCTTACTTTTAGGAGAATTTTTGGAAGAACAATAAAAACATAATATTTGAATGATTTACTTCTAATACTAGAAGTCTTTTTCTTAACATGTTTATCTTTTCTTTATTTGTTTCTACTTTCCACTAGAGACAAGCATGAAAAATATCAAAAATGCTTCTAATCTTATCACATGGGCAGACATTTATAGAAAGGAATTTTTCTATTAATAAAGAAACTGGAAACTGACAATTTTGAAGATTCATCTTATATGTCTCAGTACATCATAAAGGGGCTGGCGCTGGGCATTTTCCCAATTGATGCAATTTCTTTGGATCCTAAATTCTGCTGCCTAGTGCCTTCTTAAATTCTACTCCCAGTGCCAGTCCTTAATTGTAAAAGTTTTGCCATTTCTAGATTTTGTACTGTATTTATGTCACTAAATATTAAAAAACTGCCGGCTCTTAGCATATTATTATTTTACCGATCCCCCTAGCCGGCCATATGATCAGAAAATGGGACTGGTGAGAAAAACATATAAAGTCCAAAATTGCAGTGTCGAATTCCAACTCTATCTTTATTCCTATTTATAATCTTCATTATTGTCTCTGCAAAATCTTTCAAATTTGAATAGTTCCTTTAAAAATCTTTCTTAAAATTCTTTCCATATCTCTCTCTGCACTTCGGGAAAGCGTTACATCATGGTGAAGTGCTGATCCCAAAACTTATAACAAAAATAAGATTTATCATTATGTAGATGAAACTGTTTAAAATAAGATGGGAAATGGCCATGATTAGTCAGTACCTGATTTATATCAACATTATTATGATATTCATCTCTTTTTAACTTATATTTTTCATAACTCTTTTTTTTTTTTAGACGACTCCCAGTAAAAATTTCATTCTGTATAAAATCAAAGTTTTCATTTCAGCATGGTGTTTTTTCTTGAATCAAAAATTTATCGGTCCATCCAAGTGCGCCATTTAAGCAAGGGTGTCCGCTCCTCTTTCTGCAATTCCATGTGTGCTTCACCTAGGTAATTTATAAATTGTTTTCTTTCAGCCTTTTAAACAAGCCTTTTATTCATTAAATAGTCAATTTTTAACAACGATTGTGGGGTGAGTCTGAGTGCAGATATAGCATCAGTTATAAATATTTAAAAATATCAAACTGTTAATTTTTTTATTATGCAGTTCAAAGTCTCTGTCAATGCGTTATAGTTATTTGATAAACAAATTCATGGTTTTTAATTTTGTTTCTCACATTTTCTATCTCCACTCCATGAAATAAATTATCACAGCACATCCATTCCACATCAATTCCAGAACCATCTGTAAAAAATGTCTATTTCGCCCCCAGAAAGAAACTCAGATCATTTTTAAAATAAAAAAAATCTGTCATTGGGTAATAATATCCTCATTTCTTGTGAAAGGACTTACTTGAGTAATTTTTCCAATTTCAGATCTGAATAATTTTATTAGCAATAAAACTTTTTGTAGTATAATTTGTATTAAAAATCGAGAGGGGGCGGAAACTTCCCACAGGATGCAGGCAAGCTTCAGTCGAATTGTTTCTGAGCTCTTATATGGCAAGCATTCAGCCTCTCTGCAAGGGTCCAATTTCATTCTTAAATCTAAAAGTAAACCCCTCGCTCAGTAGCCCACTCCGACTCCCGGGAATATAATTTTTAAATAATTTCTCTAGCTGGAATGGTGGGAAAACGCTTCTATTCAAAGTATCAGCACTAAAGTTATAACATTTTATAATGTTATCTGTGATTCTATGTATATGCTGAAAATGTTCTGCAGAACTTAATTTGCTATCAATAATAATTCCTAGATATTTCATATTTTCATCAAATTTGATACGATTACCCTTAAATTTCAATTGTGGGGGGTCTAATCTTTCTTGCACCCCGAGGGGGGGGAAGTCCACAAATGTTTTCATTATTAAAATCATTTTCTCCATTTTTTCAAGAGGGCATAACAGACGATCTCATAATTTGAAATATTGACTTTCTGCAGTAGGTCATTGTCCATATTACCAAAAATAAAAAAAATTAGTAGCTTTTTTTCTATACATTCTAAATGCATTTAGGGTTTTAGAATAAGAAATCTTTAATTAAATAAAAAAATTCTAAAGTGAAGGCGAAACATGTTAAAGAAAGAAGAATACACGGAGAGAAAGAAAATTATTTTTCAAAGATATGTACAGTTATTTTTATGTAAATTAACCAGTTTTCTAAGCCTTTACTATAACTTCCCCTTTTCATTTCCTCACAAGAATGCAAATCATTTAGTTAGTTTTTAAAATGAGGTTTTTGGACTATAAGACAGTGTGTTTCTAGCCTCCACTTGCACACTGCATTAGTTCTTGCCAGCTCTGATAATTTGTAATTATTCATTTTTACGTTATAGCTGCCGATATTTTAATTTGTTACAACAATGGCATTACTGTGAAAGCTTAGATTAAAATTAAATTTTGTAGTCTTGGACTACGAACCCACATTTTTAGTTTGAATTTTACTGTTCCTGTTTAATTACATCACGAGCTGTAGTTGATTTTGTTAACATAAAAACATGCCTTTATATTCTACATTCTTTTTAATAAGAGGTTTATTTAAACCTTTATCTGATGTGTAGCGTGTATATGAGCCAGTTTCCTTTAGAAAGTTCTTCCTGAAGGTATCTCACCCCTTAGGCAGATAGCCCTTGAAACTTTGCCATGATCACATAAACCAAACCAAACTAAACCTTTATCTCACTTTGTAGTTACTTTCAGACACAGTGATAATTTGCTTCATGTCTTTCAGGAATTTTTAACTATTTACCTTATATTAGATCAAGTAAAACCTTGTAGGTACATTGTCGAGAAATTGCCAAGCTAAGAGATGAAGTACATAGTAACTGGTGGGAATACTAATTTGTGTATTGAAACAAATTCTAATTGTTAGGAAAGATGCTTAACCATTTGAGTCCCAAGCAGTGTGATCGCTCTGTTGAGATTTTATGTCGAGAAAACCCAGTATATTTCGAACATTGTGGACAACTGACAGTGCACTTGATTTAAATCAGGTGCACATTGATGTAAAATAAACAAAGCGCTATCACGCCATTTGGTCTTTTCGTACTTATTTAGAGAAAGTGCGGTTGCGCTGTTTGAGATTCTTCGATAGTGTTTTTTCAGTAGCCCCTAGAACTCAAATGGTTAAAGAGAGGGTGATTGGTGTAAATTAGCTAAATGTCTGGGAAGGAGTCAAATTAAAAAGACGCATATGTATTTTGTTGTGTGTTGTTACTACAAAGCATTTCTAGTATTGTTTAAGAATCAATACCATAAATTACATATATTTTAAATTGTGAAATGTGTTAGTTATTTTAGTAGTGCTTTTTTAACAAATATTTTTAAACAATAAGTATAATTTAATAGTGGCCATATAAATTTATGATGACTAACGGGTATTGAACTACCTAATTTAATTATTTGTAACCAACTGCTCATCCTTAAAAGTTATCTCTGCATATTAAAGTGAGCTATTACCGTTCATTAATCCTTATTGTGGTCACAAGATAAAGCACAAAAATATAAAATTAATGTAAAACTTATTTTTTTCCATCTAATAAGACTTAAAATCATACAAAACAACTTATCACCTTTGGTGCTTTAGTGGCTTATTGGAACCTTAAAATATATTAACTGGGTTAAAACCCCAGGAGTTCTACACAAAGCTACGACACTAATTGCGTTAGACAGACCACAACTAATTTTCAAAACTCACCAACGGTGCTTACATCAGGCTTTCATGTTTGTTCTGATCAGCAGGTCTTTCTGTAGGCAAGCAGCAGCCAGTCTTCTGTTACAAATCATGCTGATTATGATTTTGCTTATCATTAAAATGTATGCCGTTTGACATAAAATCTACCTGCTATTTACTAAACCTCTAGAATGAGCAAGTTCCAAATGAGACATAAAAGAAAAATCAGCAGAAAGCTAACTGTTTGTAAGATGTAAATAAAATGTCACTAATCTCCTTTCAAATGTGTCCAGATTATTAGAAGTGTAAAATATTTAATGCTACTTGATGAATATAAAGTTGATTTTATTCTCAAATTTGTTTTATAGTTATGTTTATTAAATTATGTTTAATAATAATGCATTCTACTTATTGATCTATTTTATTCTTAGGATGAGATTACAAAAATAAAGTTAAGGCATAGATAATATCTTTAATTGAATTTATTCAGTTCCCATTTGCTGATAGGTCCTTAATTTGTTTCTATTAATGGTCCTTAAAAGTACTTAATTTCCATGTGCAGAAATGTGTACTAACCCTGTATGAGGGTCAATCTCATTTTCGGAATGAAAACAATTTCCGCTTAATTTTGTTTTTAAGTTCAAAAATAGCCAAAACTCGCACATACCTAGATCCGGAGAACAGGTTAGATGTTCTATCATTTTGATGTGTTTTTGTTCAGAAAACTCAACTGTCAGTCTTGCTGAATGAGAAGATGCATTGACATGGTGGAGCATAAGTCCTCTAACATTCACTTCTTGAAGAATTACTGAAAGACAGTTGTGTATCAGTTAGCTATGACTGTCTTCTGTCTTTCCAGCTTGATAGCTTTGATTAGTTCTGTGTTTCTGAAGAAAATAGCATACAATACCTTTTTTCATGGCATGCTGTCTTTTCACCATTGTGGGGGTGGGATCATCTTCATACACCCATACTTTACTTTCTTGATATGTTGGAGCATCAAAAAATAGTATGTAGGTTTCATCACCAATTAGGATTTTAGAAATAATGCCATGGCCACGATCTTTAAGAAATTTAATGGTTTCTTTACTGATTCTGACATGCTCCTCTTTTTGGTGCTCAGTTAAATTATAGGGAACCCAAAGGTAAACTAGTTTTTTTATATGCAATTCTTCATGCTTCATAATTTTATGTATGGCAGTGGATCCAATGTTATCATTTGGCAATTATCATCAAGTAACATATCATCTATATGGTAGACACATTATCAGGGATTACTGTTGACAATGGCCTTCCTGTGTGCTCATCCTGAAAAGAGTTGCAACCTCTGTGAAATTCTGTAAACGATAGCATGAGATGGACCTTTATTTCCAAATATTAATTGTAGAGGTTGAACACATTCTTCTTGATTTAATCCCACTTTAAAAATCATACCACAATAATGATCTCGCATCAACTCCATTTTTTCTTTTGCCTTAACTTTATTCTATACCAAACTACTTGTGTTGGCCAATAAAAAATCATCTGCTACCGTTAATTTTTTTTCTGCCACTCATCGCTTGTGCATATTTGAAGGTTTCAGAGTGACCTCTGTACTTAGCAATTACAGTAAAACCCCAACTATCCAGCATTCAACTAACTGAAATATTTTTTTTTTTTAAATTAAGCAAATAAGACTTGTACATAAAGCATAAACAGGACTGTGGCTCAGAACAAAAACTGTTGCTTTTTCCATTAACAGAAAGTGATAAAAATTCGGGATCTTATCTAAACGGACAGCACGCAGTAAGGCATTTTCAAAATTGCAGATTCCAACCACCAAGAAAATTGTGTTTATAGGTTCCCAATATGGGACTTTATATAAAAATGAATTAAAAACGGCAACACAATGTGAAAAATTGTGAATAGCGATTTAAGTTTATTATAGGCTGTATCCATAACATGCAGCTGTTGATTATCTAACTGAATAAACAGTGATTATATCTTTCAAATTTCTGCCAGAATGATTGCAAGTTCGGTATGATTTATGCCAGTTTTCATGGTCAGTGGGATTTTATAATCGTATAAGATGTTTTACTCTCTTATATTTCAATAGTTTTATAAAAATATGTTGGTTTTATGTCTGAAATAGATACAGTAAAAAGTCGTTAATTCGGAAACCCATAATCCAGAATGATCTATAATCCAGACATCAAAGCTACAAACTTTCTGCGCATGCGCGTAATACTTTTATGGCTGCACATATGGGTGTGCGCATGCGCAAAATACGTTTACGCATGCGCGTTTCATGTATAACAAAGCTAAAATTATCTAAATATCTATTTCAGTTAATGTATAAGCTAAAATTATCTAATTATCTATTTCAGTTAATGTTGCAGATTGCGTTGTTCCTTAATCTTCGAATTGGATCCGGTTTATTATTTTTTGCAGACTGTTAGAGCAATTTTAAAAAAGTAAGCTTGAACTTTTCGATTATGTCAAATAGAATTTCCGATGCTGGAGCTCCCAAAAGGATCTACAAAGCGAAAGTATATTTCGATGTCCATCAAACAAAAAGTGGAATTGCTGCAAAAAATGGATAAAGGCATATCTTTTGTTTCTCTAACCATTCTGAAATCTGTTTATCAATTTCACAGGGTGGGGGGGGGGAAACGCCACGACGCGCAATGAATTGGAAGTTGATCTGTCAGCACTATCCTTATCTTCAGGGCAGATGTTTTTATTTTATTTGGCTTATAATTCCTTACTAAATGTAGTATTTTATCTCGATGTACTTCATCTTTGATATGATTTAAATCAAATTCCTCATCATTATAATTCGCTTCCGATAGTGAAGAAAGTGACACAGAGGTTATTGAAAACGAAAAAATTTCGATTGACAAATTAGTCGGTATTCTCGACACAGCAATTATAGGACTTGAACAGCGGAACTTTGTAACTAAACAAGAAATTGTGTCTGTTTATAGAATTAAAAACATAAAACGAAGCAACTTAAACAACTTACATTGAAAGAAAATGTTTAATGAAGTAACAAAATAAATATTAAGCTTTTTTTTTTTTTTTTTTTTTTTTTTTTTTTTTTAAACAATATTTCCATTAGAATTTTTCCATATAACAAATTCAACTTAATGAAAATACTTCATTTTTGTCACAAAGATATAAAATACATACTAAAATGTTTTAAAATGACTGTTAGCAGAACAAAGTTTAGGGGTAAACTCATAGTTTTGGAGGATGCAGTTTGTTTTCTGATTCTTCTGTGCTTAATTACATTTCCGATTGAATTTTTCCATTTTCTTTCTAAGTATTTCATCTCAATGAAAATGGACCTTTGAAATAAGGACAAAAAGATGTTTAACAATGCTTATTAACTGAAACTGCAGCAATCAAAACTTTTACTGAAATAGCAGGTTTGGTTGGGTTTATTTGATTATGTGAAAGCAAGCAAAGGATATATGCGCAAGGGAAAGGATGACTCTCTAAGGGAAGATTCGATTGCATGTTATATATGTAAAAGCATAGAAACGTCCACGCAGCCAGCCTATTTGCCTGGAATCGAACTCAGGTTGAACTTCCAGTTCTCAACGATTTAACTGCTCAGCCAATGGTGGGCTCACTGAAATAGCAGAACAAATATGTACAGAAATTTGCTTTTACAGAATAAATATATTTATGTAACTCTTCAATAAGCTTTAGTGCAAATTAGAAGAATTCTGAACAAAAATGCAGTGACAGTAGCAAATTGGTGAAACAAACATGTACGAAAATGCGAAATCACTAAAAAAAATAGATTCTATGCACATTTGTAGACATATTCACGAATGAAATATATGTAGAGTCATTAGGTGATATCGATGCAGGAACGTGAAAAGTGTGCAATGTCCTTGCCAGGATTCGAACTCCAAACTTCCTAAATATATACTGAGTGTGCTTCCAGTTACATCGCGAAGGCGTAAGAAAAAGAACGAGAAAATAACTTATATGCTCCTCCTTTTGAAGGGATGAGGGTATCCAATCACAAAATCTTGGTGTGTTGATGAATTATCGTCCACCACCTTTGAGTTTGAGCACAACTTGTACTATCTTTTCGAATTTTTTGATGCCAGGAAACTGAAATCCACAATGCCCTTACCTGGATTCGAACTCTGGACTTTCCAAATACGCTTCAAGCATGTTTCCAGTTACATCATGAAGGCATGCGGAAGGAAGGAAGAAAATATATTATAAAGTATAAAATATGAACAAAATTATTAAACTTAATTGGAATCAATTGTCAAGAGACCTTTAAATTCATTAATTTAAATTAAACTCATCCCCACTTCAAAGATATACTGTGCATCATTTTGTGTTACTCTGCCGCAAGTCATGTCACTCTTTCCCTGCAATCTCTCTATGTTGCGACATCTTTAGTCAAATCTCTGCTCAGGGTTAACGCAATGACTTTCTAGTTATAGAAAGTGAGTACGCATTGCTTTTTCTCGATTGCTGCCACCTGAATAAGCCATGTCTCTTGCTTCACCTTCTTCCTCATTGTCTAAAATGTAAACTAGGCATATCAAAATTGTGGAGGTGTTTAGTACCCCTAGTGTTGTACCATTTTTAAGTACAAATGTATTTCTGAATAATTGTTCTGAAAAATAAAAGTATTTTAACCATCAAGCCATTTGCGATTTTTCGCTCTAAGCGTCACTTGTGCAACAGTTTTCTCGACCATGACTCAAGTATGAATTGGTTTTTATCTTTCCCCCCAAAACCACATCATCACAGAACAATGTTTTTTACAATCCCCCAAAACTCCAACATCATATAAAATAATTAATCAACTTTAAAAGAAATTAAAATATAGAATAATAAGTTCCCTTATCTCTGAATTCGCAATTATGGAATCTTTTTTTAAAAATATGAAATTCATAATGTAAACATTAAAATAGTTCAAAGTAAATTAAATTATGGAACATATTTTATTACAAAAGTAATTGCAAATATATATCTTAACACATAAAACTGTATTGGGCGAAGACTATCAAATAGTTACCACGAAATTTTTAGAATGGTGATGATTATCTTCAGAATATAAACTAGCGATCTTTATTGTCATAACTGTCATTAAAGTACCTAAATCACCTTACATGTACACTCACGTTTGTGAAAATTGCAACACCAAGAAGGAATCGTCATAATTGAATGCAATTTAATACACAGTTGAGTGGTAGTGGTACAAATAAATGATTAAATGTTCAAAGCAAACAAACAAGAACAAGAGATCAGAATCAGTATTTTGTGTGGCCACCAAGCGCCGCAATAAGTGCTGCTACACGACGTGGCATGGAGTCAAACAAAGTTTGAATGTCTGACTGAGGAAGAGCATGCCATACCGTTTGTACGCGTACCCAAAGTTCGTCTGCAGAAGACGCAAAGAGGACGAGGATCACGAGCAAGGACGCCGACCATGACATCCCACACATGTTCAATTGGCGACATATCCGGGGGAAACACGGCAGGCCAAGGAAGAAGCTTACCTGCTGCGCTGCAAAGAAGGATTTAACAATCGAGCAGTATGAGGGCGGGGCATTGTCCTGTTGAAATACAGCGCCTGGCAAGCTTTGAGGGAAGGGAACAGCTTCGGGCTGTAGAACTTCACGGATTAGACCGGTTTGCTGTTCAGATTGCCCACAATTCGTAGCAAACTGAGATCGTCTATGATATGCTATGGCGCCCCAGGACCATAACTCCGGGTGTTCGTCCACTGTGGCGTTCGATAATGCACTCCGGAAGGTGGCGTTCACCGGCATAGCGTCTGAACACGAATGCGGCCATCATGGTACCACAAAATTAAAGCGGGATTCGTCAGAAAAAACACGACATGCTGCCAATCAGCACGCCAGTCTCTATGCTGATTGGCCCATTGTAGCCGCAGGCGGCGATGGTCGTGCGTTAGGGGGATCCTGTATAAAGGAGTCCGTGCGCGCAGTCCACACTGCCAGCAGACGTCTACGAATTGATGAAGCACACAATGAAACACCTGTAGCTATTGACCACAGTGCTGCCAATTGTCTAGAGGAAGGCTGTACGGTCCGTCCGCGCCATGCGGACCAGGTGTCTATCATCGCGAGCTGACGTCACATTTCGGGGGTCCACTCCCGGATTTCCGAGTGTCCGACACTCGTCCGTCCACTGCTTCCAAACGCGCATCACTGTGCTGCTGTTACGCTGCACACGATAGGCTACTGCACGATACGACAATCCAGCTTCACGAAGGCCGATGATTCTCCCTCGTTCAACTCTGTAAGTTGTTCAAATCTCGCTCTCTTTCGTCGACGAGGCATAAGTACAGATTGAGGTTAACGTTTACCACTAGCAGATAACCACCGATAACCATACACGCCTCGCTACAGCCGTCTATTTATTCGGATCCATCAGCCGTTCAGAGGGCGCTGCTCAGCATATGCATGCGCTACGGATTTGCAATTCTAATCATTTGCATATCATGCGCTACTTTGCATTTCCTGAAAATTTCAGCTCACTCGCGTAAGTCCTTCATGGTGTTGCAATTTTCACAAACGTGAGTGTATTTAAAGATCAACCGCATGCTTTTCCTTCTAAATTTTACGTAATATTATATACGGAGTTCCGATATTCAAGCTGGTAACGAATAATGCGTTCTTATAATTTTAGACTAGAATTTTCTTCTATTCCTTTGGTTTTTCTACCATAAACTGCATTCTTTATATACTCAGCTATCTGCCATTTTTTTAACCTTCCCTGTACTTTTAAACACATTTGTGTTAACATCACCAAAAATGTTCACACGTATTAAAATACAATTTTTGCTTTGCTAAACGCAGAAATTTGAAAACAATAAAATGCTTATGACAAGTTTTCTTTATTTCACGAAACCATTTATAGAAACTTAAGTGAGAATTCTGATAATTGTGTTAAATAAACCAAAAAAATTTCATATACAACAAATAAATAAAAGTAGTTTGGCTTTTATCAAATAAAACTTACTAACACAGTTACAAAGACATTTTATGTCATAAAGTCCAGTAATTTAGTATAGTATTTTAATTTTTCATAAAAACAATGAAGTATTTTCATAATTATGACGTTATTTTTATTTCTTTATAGATAAACTTTAATTTATTAATTTTTTAAGCAATCAAACGATTGTGCAAGTAAGTTATTTTAATAATTTGAAATATATATGTATTAAATGAATTTGAAATATATATGCATAAAACATGTATTAATCTGTTTGTTAACTTTGATTCTGCACGGAAATCTCGAGAATGTTTCATAATATTTATGCTCACAAATGCAATGCAATTCTAATTCCTTAATCTGAATTTATCTGCATATCTGGAGGTGTTTTTTTAGTTCAAAGCGGCAATTTTCCCAGAAGGACTATTAATTTCGTTTTGCATTTTGCGTTGATTAAGTACAAGCGTTGTTTCACTTTTCAAACTGTTGCCACCAAATATTGCCCTTTTAAATACTTTTCAAATTGTTGCCCTGTATTATATTTAAAGAAAATGAATGATGAAGAATCTGCATAAATGTATGTATGTTTCTCACATTATGCTAAAACAGCGGTACCTAGAGTCATCAAATTTTGAGTAGTTTAATCCTCCTGCGAATATGGGCATCTGGATGCCTAAATTTGGAATTTGTTTTATTATCAATTTCATATTTTGTAAAACTTGAATGAATTTTTGATTAACAAACAATGATTTCAAAGCGAGCAATGGCAACATTGTAAAGAAAAAAACATTTTTATCTCCAGCGTGCGAGACTGTGTATAGGAAATTCTAAAGATATGTTCATTTTAAAATTATTTTGCGATATTGCTCTTGAACCGAATTTTATGGTTCAAGTGCAAAGAACATGATATTTAATAAATAAAGGTAACACACAAAATGTTTAAAAAACACCCCTTTGGACATAATTTAAAATGTGAAACCTTTCAGATTTTTTATTATTTATTTATTTTTTATTAAAATCACTGTGTTGGAAGACATATAATTTTTTGTACACTACCTTATGATTGGGATAAGTTTTGTGAACAACCCAGTTTGTTTTACTTGCTGCGCCTGTGATCATACTTTTTTATGTTCAATACGGCTACTAAATTGTTTGTCTTCTGTTTCTTCAAACGTAACAACTGAATATGTATGCCAATAAACGGTATCCATTCATTCAAGATTTCGTTTAAGTTTCAGTCATAAGAAATTAAGAAAAATCACCATTAAATCTTTACATTATGGTAACTTGGCGATTTTTTGGCGAAAGTTTGGCGACCAACCCTGTTACAGCAACCTACTAGTTTTGTTTTGGACGCCATTTTGTTTTCACGAAGTAGAGGCATTTTTTTTTTTTTTTTTTTTTTTTTTTTTTTTAACTCAATATTTTTTCCAACAATCTGCTAGCCGAATTACGCTTATACTAGAACTTTTATGGAAAAAAAAATGCTTAATTACGACGAAGATTAGGTGCGAAATTGAGAGTGCCTGCTTGCCGCGTTTTTAAGAATTGCACATAAACGGTATCCCTGTACACGTCGACCTATTTTCTCTTTAATAAACATCCCAGAATTGCACAAAAATGGCATTGCGCACACTCTTGACTTCTATGTACACATCGACCTATTTTCACTTAAAAAGTCAAAGAAAATTGACAAAAATCCAATTCTTCTTACTCTTCTAAAAAGCGCCAAACAAATAAGTGGACGATTCTGCACTTTAGCAGCAAAATTGTTTCTAAGTGCTTATTAGCTAAAATCCCGGTCGGAATTTTCCGGAAAATGTCAAATTACATGTCTCATGATCCTCTCATTTCTCTTGAGAACAAAATAATCTGTGATTCGAACTGTGTACTTCTCAGATTATTGCTAAAGTCCTAGCTAGTAATCTTTATCGCCTTACCAAAATGTCGCCAAACTACCTGTTACCATCAAGAACACACTAACGGATCTTACACATCCATGATTCATTCGAAATCACATACTTCTATTTGTCAGGTAAAACAATTCGATATTTCCGTGATGTCAAAAATTTAAAAAAAAAGGTGGGGTAGGGCTTGAAAATGGCGCCTCAGGGCTGGTGCAACCTGTTTGGCAGAATTCAGGGGCAGTAAAATTTTTAGAATTTGAACAGGTATTGGGCAACACAATATATAGGCAAATTCCGTAAGCATACATTTTAAAATTGAGTTTAAGGGAAAAAAAATATTTAAGCCATTGGGGTTTGTAATAGAAAATGTCAACACTGATTGTTAGAACTGAAAACATGTTATAATAATAGTTGCCACAGTTAGGACGTAACGTAAATATGAGTCAGTTTCCCTTAGAAAGTTTTCCACGATGGCATTCCACCCTTTGTGCAGATAGCCCGTGAGTGTTATATTAATATTATTATGATTATGATGATTGTGTGCTGAAATGTATACTCTATGTAGAAGATGAAGTAGCTGGTGTTGGGCTTCAAGGAATAGGGGTTTTTTTTAGGGATTCGATAAACACCTCAAAGAAGGGGGTGAAGCGGAGAAGTCAGAGGGCTCTTTTAATGGCCATTTTGTGGCAATTTCTAAGGGTTTGAATTTATTTGTAGATAGTTTACATAACACGATTTTCGCGATTACAATACTTCCGTACAAGGAAGTAAAAAGTGGGTTAGCTTAAAATTTCATTCTTTCCTTCTACTTAAAAATATTTTTATTAAAAAGAGAGCAACAATTTCTGACTACTACGGATTAATCGTTTTAAACTTTGCATATAACAAGACAAAATTCTTTTTTGGTACATTTTCGCTCATTGTAAACATCGCGATGTGTAGCAGAAGCATAGCGCCATCTAGCGGTCAAGAGGAATATCACAGAGGCCACCGAAACCACAAAAGAATATTTTCACACTAAAGGCAGGCCTAGATTTTCATATTTCTGCTCGCATTTACGTAATTCTGATGAGGAGGTATATAGTTTTGAACCATAGGCACTCCGTAATTTTTAATCATTGGCAGACCTAGAGTCAGAGTCGTAGCTAGGGTTTTCAGCGCCCAGGGACAACTGAAGATTTCGCGCCCCTATTGCTTGCCAAGGATGGAAAACATTTAATTCTAAAATGTGTAACATCAGTTTGGCGCCCCTTGGATTCTTCGCCCGGGAAGAGATGCCCCCCTTGCCTCCCTCTAGCTACGCCCCTGCCTAGAGTATAAGTTGGCGTTGCGTACACGCATGAGTGGACGTCGGACGTGTAGACATTTCGTGTTAATTTCCTGTGTGCGAGTGTTGTTTTGATATGAATATGAGAAAAAGTGGTAGAACTTTGTAGTAATGTGTATCAATTTATGATGCTACTTTCGATACTATTTTTCTTTCTGAAATAAGAATCAGCAGTGTGTAAAATGAAAGCTAATAATTCATAACCATGAATCCTGAGCACAGAAAAATTTTAGAGAAAAATAGAAGTTATCTTGAACATAATGTTGATAAATTTCGCCTAAGAGAATCACTGATTGAATCTAAATTATTTACATCTTCTATGCTAAAAGATGTATATGAAGGGGACGCTAAATTGTTTGAAGAGCTTCCAACTCGTGGACCCAAAGCTTTCTATAAGTTCCTCTCAGTTCTTAGAGATGCTGGTTATAATCACGTAGCAGTAAATTTGGAAAAGGGCGCATTGAATAATTATGTAATACGATTAAATCATAAAGATGATACTTATCATATGAGTCACGATACAGCTGGTTGTTGTTTGATTATTAATAATATGCAGTTTGATTCTTTTAAAGATCGCACTGGATCAGATAAAGATGAAAAAGGATTTGAATTTTTTTTCCAAAAAGTTGGTTATAAAGTGATTTGCCGTCAGAATAAAACAGCGGAAGAAATGTTTTCTATATTACAGGAATTCTCGGAATCTGATTTTAAAAATCAAAATTCATGTATTGTTATTATCTTGAGCCATGGAGGTAATGACAAAAATTTAGATGCTATCTATGGCAAAGATGGAAATTATATTTTATTAAATGAAATTTTGGCTATGTTTAATAAAAGTGAAGATTTGGTTGGGAAACCCAAAGTATTCTTTATCCAGGCTTGCCGAGATGAAATTTCAGTTGGGAAGAAAATCACTGAGACTAGTTTATATAATGAATCAGCGTTTACTGATATATTGCTTCTTCAGTCAACACTTCCATATCACGAATCATATCGACATACTGAAAAAGGTGCATATTTCTGCCAATGTCTCATTCAAGTATTAAATGATCATTATTGTAAATATGATCTTTTAACAATGACACATTTTGTTGAAGATAAAATGCAGATTGAGTGTCCAGAACCTCAAGTAACTACTGTTACAAATTATTTTTTTAAAAAGAAATTGTGTTTTAAGTAATTTGTATATTTTATACATATCTTTCAATATTAACAAATTCAAGATATCAAATTATCATCTGTTTTGCTCTTAAGTATGCTGTAAATATATGAAATTAATGTAAACTCTAACCTATCAAATAAACTATAATATACATTTTATGCTTGACTATAATGTTATAATTTTATAAGCGTGCTTACCATTCTGAAATTATTATTAAGTATTTATAAGGCAATTCGCATGGCAACATTTTGGTAGTAAATACATGTAAATTTATTAACTTTAATAAAGTTATAATGATTTTTAGCATTATGTGTAACTCTTATATACTTAGTATTTGAATTTTTCCTCAGTTTTTATTGAGATAATTGACAAAACAGATTTATTTATTTGAGGTGGCTCTGCCTAGAAAAACCTTCTCCAATTATTAAAGATAAACTGAATGTCAGAATTGTATTTTCATGAGTTTAATTTGCTGTTTTGCATACTGGATGACTTGCTAGTATACACTTGCTTATATCTTTAAGCTGTAAATTAACAGTAATTATGTAACATACATCCTGTTTGCATATAGATTTAGAAAGCCATAAACTAAGAATTGAAAATATACTTCAGGGTATACCTTGGCAAAAATTGGTGATTTTTTTTTTTTTTTTTTTTTTGGGGTGTGTGTGTGTTATTTTTGTTTATGTGCAACGCCCTCCTAAGTGAAATAGTGTCCAAAACATAATACGGGGATACTCAGATAGCTGGCACTCGGCAAGGTTCCTGAAATTGTATTAGGTGCCAAACATTGGGAAGAGGCTTCAGGTTGCTAGCTCAGATGTTAACTACGATAAGGAAAGTTATATTTTCTTTCGATATGTAGATAACTTTGCCTTGGGTTTTGTGATAGTTAAACCTTTATCAACGTTACCTTCAAGGTAACTTATTTTTATTCAAGATAACTTCTATTTTCTTAAGTTTATTTTTGATATGTAGATAACTTTGACGATATATCTTTGTGCTAATGATGACATGACTTTGTCAGTAGATGTTTTGAATTTGCTTATTATTTTCTAAATAAATTAATTACCCCTGTGGTAAAAGTTTACAATTGGGTGCCTCTTGTTTTTTGGCGATTCTTTTTTGACGCCAAGATTGGCGCCAGGAAGACACAATTTCAAGATGGCCGCTACACAAAACCAAAATAAGAAGTCAAAGAATTGCATAAACTCTATGTCCATGTACACGTCGATCTGTTTTCACTTAAAAAACCATCCCAGAATTGCACAAACAAGGCATTGCGCCTTGCTTTAAATTTGACCATGTACACATCAATCTACCGTAATTTCCGGAAGAAACACCGCGGCGTTTACGTGTTTAAAACTTAAATTTTCAATGGTGCGGCGTTTAGGTGCACTAAAAATAAAATATTTCCTAGGATGGTCATTGTACATAGTTTGGATGGCCTTGTCATTGTGCATAGACTGGTGCTATTCCCACACAAAAGACCACTCAGTTGCCTTTTGCGAACGTTATTTTGTTTACATTCTTTCCCTTGAACGGATCTACATGCCTTATTCACCCTAAATGAGATCTCGGAACAATAACATTCTTCCCCCCTTTCAAATCAACATTTTCATCAGTTTGAATAGTCTCTCTTCTCTGCTATTCGATGAATCTTCCAGGACCCATCCTCTCCCCACCCCTGCCTTTTCTGCAATTTTTTTCAAAGGCAGACACGACTCCACGACGATAACGAACTCTGATGTATTTCCCCTTCAGCATGAATGGATTTTTCTTGGCATTCTGCCAAATACAGATCCCATCAGTTTGGGTACAAGTACTTGTTGAATAGTTTTCAAGTAAGAAGGGAGCAGAAAATTTTTGAAAATGTCTCTAAACGGCACAGAAGCTATACATTTCTTACCTTTAATTTATTTTTGAGTTATGGTTTCATTTCATGCATTTTTCTTAACTGGTATGTCATATATCAGGACTTAGGTTGAGTTTTTGCATCTATACGGCCCACGACGACGTCACGCGCAATTTAATCTATTGCGGCAATTCTGTGTAATTTTAATTTTTTTCCCGCCATTTTTCTTGAGTGCGGCGTTTACGCTGATGCGGCCTTTCTTCCGGAAATTACGGTATTTTTATTTTAAAAAAATCAGGAGGCTAAAGTAAACTATCATAGTAACCAGAAATGAGATTTCATCGCCAAAATTTTACAAAAAATTGTCGCTAATCGAAGGGGCATCCAATTCTACACTAGAGCCGCACCGGTAATTAGAATAAGATAATTAGGTAAAATCCTAGTATACGGTGCAGCCTTGGTGCGATTTTGAAACTTATCGCCAACACCAAAAATGACCCAAAGAATATCTGTGTATATACTATACACTATATACATAGTATATTCAAAGAATATAACTATATATATTCTTTTAATGACCCGTTTACCACTCATCGTATATATCCCGTTTTTACTGCTCATCATAAAGTCGCCAAAAGAAGCCAAATCCTTTGTGCACCGGATACTAGGATTAAACCGATAATTATTTTGGGGAAAGTGCAGAATCGCCCACTGCTTGACATGTTTTTAAGAATTGCACATACTCGGTATCCATGTACACATCGACCTATTTTCACATAAAAAAAATCTCAGAATTGCACAAAAATGGCATTGCGCACTCCCTTTAACCGTGTACACATCGACCTATTTTCACTTAAAAAGTCAAAGAGGTTGATCTTTACATTACGGTAACTTGGCAATTTTTTGGCGAAAATTTTGCGACCAACTCTCCTACAGCAACCCTCTATTTTTTTTTATTTTTTTTTTCCTGCCGCCATTTTGTCTTCATGAAGTAAAGACATGTTTCTTTTCATTTTATCTACTGAACACTTCTTCCAACAATCTACTAGCCGAATTACACTTATGCTAGAAATTTTATCTAACAAAACTGCTTCATCATGACAATATTCACTGCAAAATTGGGAAAAAAAAGTGCACAATACCATATCCTTACGTGTTTTTCAAAATAACACATACACATAAACCATGTACACGTCGACTTATTTTTACTTAAAAAAAATCCCAGAATTGCACAAAAATGGCATTGCGCACACTGTTCACTATATCCATGTACACTGCTTTTTTCTCATAAATTAGAAAAAATTCACAAAAATACATCACAATTTTTTGAATCTTTAAACCCGGTAAAAAGAAATATATGAAATTACCTGATCGCGAAAAAGTATATATCCTTTCCAAATATGAACATTTCCACGTATAAAATAAATAAAATGTCCTTCAACTAAAACGTATACCAAATTCCTACAAACATAAAATTCACAAAATAACTATCATTTAATTAAAATCACTAAACCATGTACACATCGACTTTTTTACTTAAAAAAAACATCCCCAGAATTGCACAAAAATGGCATTGCGCACAACTCTTCACTATATCCATGTACACTGCTGCTTTTTTCTCATAAATTAGAAAAATTTCACAAAAATGCATAACAATTTTCTGAATCTTAAACCCGATAAAAAGAACATATATGAAATTACCTGATCACGAAAAATATATACCCTTTCCAAATATGAACATTTCCCCGTATAAAATAAATAAAATCCAAAAACTTTTCACCTCTACATATCTATTATATTACAAACGTCACTAACTAATTCATACTGCAAACATTACAAATGGTTACAAATACTTAGTGTCAAATATTTAAATTATTTCCATGCACATTACGCAAATTACTTTACTTCCCATCTTACATTTAGAACAATGCATAAAATAATATCCTCAAATAATTAAAAATACTAACTTACCTAATCTTCTTCAGAATCTTGATTACGTGTCCGATAAACTTTCTTATTCTGTTTCAGGCTCTTTAAAAATCATACTTATAGTTCACAGCAAAGGTACCAGGTAAAATAAAATAACATCTTTACTTCTATCTCACACAACCTTAAAGAAAAACTTATTACTACCCCTTCAATCCCACTAAATACCCATTTCGAATTCACTTTAGTTAGGGCCATGGGATCCAAAAATTAACGAACACTGTTTCACACAACACAGAAAAGCCAAATACAAAACTTCCAGATTTTTTCCCGATTTCCCCCCTTTTCCGATTAAAGAACCGTAATTCGTCCATTAATATCACATGACATATCCCATGATCTCATTTCCCTCACACAAAATAATGCGTAATCGGAACTGAGTACTGCTCACATTATTACCGAAGTCCCAGGTAGTAACCTTTATCGCCTCCAAAATGTCGCCAAACTACCAGTTACCATATTCTAAAGATCAGCCGTCAAAGAAAATTGACAAAAATTCAATTCTTCTTACTCTTGTAAAAAGCGCCAAACAAACGCCTATCAAATAAGTGGGCGATTCTGCACTTTAGCCAGTTATTTTTATACAAGTAAATTACAAAATGTGGTCTTTTTCCATACTTATGGTTCACATTATCCCATCTGTATTTACATATAGTTGATTTCTAAATAAATTTAATTAAAATTTTTAATTACAGACTTAAATTAATTAGACTTCTATTCAAAATAATTTTGTTTTGAATAAAATTGGCTTCTCCTGAATTATTGCTTGCATTACATTTTGCTAATTAGAATGAAAATTTATTTAATAATCTACTTAATATTTAAATATATGGGGAAAGTGCAGAATCGCCCACTGCTTGGTGTGTTTTTCAAAATCGCCAACTTGGAGCTGTCGCGTCTTGTCTGGATTTGCAACCCCTCCAGAAGACACTACGCAAGGCGCGACATTTACAATGGTGAGCAGGTAAAATAAATACAAAATAAAAGTTGAAGGAAAATTTTGAAAACTGAAAATCCTTTAAAAACTGCATAATAATTAAAAAAAAAAAAAAAAAAAAAAGGTACTATTCGGTTTCGAGGGCAGTAAAAAAATTGCAGCGAAAATGTGCGCGCAAAAGCGCCAAATCTAACAAACGCGCCCATTTAACAGCGCACTAAATCTAGCGTACGCGCTGATTTCAGATTGCGTAAGTTTATGTAGTTCTATATTTCTTAAGATGCCATTGAAATACTAGTATAATTTTTAAATCCTTTTCTGATAGCCTATGGATTTAACAATTTGGGAATTGCCCATGACGAAAACTCGGCGATAGAATTTTGGCTAAAGTGCAGAATCACTCACCGTTTGACGCGTTTTTAAGAATTGCACATACTCGGTATCCATATGCACATCGACCTATTTTCACTTAAAAAAAATCCTATAATTGCACAAAAATGGCATTGCACACACCCTTGACTTTATCTATGTACACATCGACCTATTTTCCCTTAAAACGGACATTAGTGGCAAAGCTCAATTAGCAGTGTTTCTTCGTTCTTGTGACAAGAATTTTAACATTTTTGAGGAATTACTGGAACTAATACCGATGCCTGGTACTACCACAGGAGAAGATATATTTACTTGGTGTTTTGGACTTCTGCAGAAATACAATCTGCTGCTTTGGCAAAATTAAATTCTGTAGCTTACAGATGGCGCTCCATCAATGACCGGGAAAAAACAAGGGCTTCGTGGCATACTAAGGAAAAAAGTTAGTGAAATTCACGGTTCAAACATTCATCATATGCATTGTATTTTACACCAAAAAGTTCTATGCACGAAAGTAATAATATGGAGAATGTTTTGTCATATATAAAAAAAAGTTATAATTTTTATAAGATCTCGAGGTTTAAATCAGCGTCAATTCACTGCTTTCTTAAGTGAGTTAGATAGTGAATATTCGGGTTTGTCCTACTTATACCGATGTACGTTGGTTATCTTGCTCCAAGATTCTCACAACAATTCCAGGTATTTGAAAGAAGAAATATACCAGTTTTTAAAAACGAAAAATCAAGACGTAAGTTTGTTTTACGATCCAATTCGGATACAAGATTTATCTTTCTTGGTTGATATAACAAAACACTTAACGATTTAAATTTATCGTTACAAGGAGAAAGATCATATCATTACGAACATGTTTGACATAAATTAAAGCATTCAAATGTCAACTAGTTCTTTGGGAAAAAGAACTTAAAAATGAAGATTTGACGCACTTCCCGACGTGCAGCATGAACAAATCAAGTTTAGATTATACTTGTTCGTATCAAAAATACGCAGAGAAAAAATTGCAAATTTAACAACTGAACTTGAAACGAGGTTTAATGATTTTAGTTCCCTCGAAGACAAATTTTTTTTGTTTTCTTTGATTTTTCTCAATAAGTATTGACTCAGTACCGAGCCATATGCAAATGGAGGTGTTCGAGATTCAATGCAACTCAAATTTGAAAGCAAAATTCATTGAAGTGGGCGTGTCTGAATTTTACAAATATTTACCAGCCAGGTTTGAAAGTACTCGAACGTAGGTGAAGAGAAGAAATTGAAGAACGAAAACGTCAAGATGATGAACGTAGGCGAACAGAAGAATATGAGGAACGAAAACGAAAGTATGAAGTGAATTTGAACTGCAAAAACTACCTATTGAAGCAGAAAGTAGATCTACAAATTCTGGAACCAATGAAAATGCTAGTGGTACGCACATGAATCCAAAGTTAGAGCTTCATCGTTTGATGCCAAAATTTAAACCTGACGAGAATGATATCAGTTTATATTTAATCATGTTTAAACGTTTGGCTAAACAAGTTGAGGTAAAATCCTAGTATACGGTGCAGCCATGGCGTGATTTTGGAAATTATCGCCAACACCAAAAATGATCCAAAGAACGTCTATATACTATACACTATATACTATGTGTTGTGATACTTCTTTGGCGAAATGAAGCAACTCCAATGATGGAACACAGCAATAACTTTTATTTAACACTAAAAAAAATGGCGACATACAAACAAGAAGAGAAAACATATTCTCACATTTTAAAAATAAATTACATTCTTCGTGCGAGAGTCGCACGAGGCACTCGAGTCTGGTTTCAAATATTGCCATTCACAAATACCTTAATGTTCATCTATTTAAATTATTTAAACTACAAGATTTTAATATTATTTAAAGCTGTTACAACCTCTCCCGCAACGGAGAGACTTTTACCGAAGGGAAAAGTTCTGTAAATTTCGAAAGTTTATAAGCTCGGCTTGCTCGATTGCTTAAAGAGAAAAGGTTACTTCTCTCAAGTTTCCAAATTTCAGGTCAAAAATTTAAAGTTTTAAACAAATATTTATACACCACATTTAAATAGGAATAAAATGGACAGTATTCAAATTAGTCTTCCTTTTTTTTTTTTTTTTTTCTTGACGGCGCCTAGATCTCTTCCATGGTGGACCAGTTCCTCCGATATAATTCACAGCAAAGCCTTTCCTCAGTTCATCTGTGCCTTTCGGATAATATTCAATTGTCATTTGCTTTCGACAATTGTTTTCTTCGTCTATTAGTAGCGGCTTTGATATTAAATCAAAAGCCGAAAGATGATAACGCTGCATTGCAAAATGATTCTCAGTATTAATTTCTTTATCGTTTTTCAAATTTTCGGTGAACTTCTTCCACGTTTAATTCCGGTGATTTAACTTCCTCTTCAATAAATCTTCTCTCACATCTCTGAAATCTCTGGATGCTTTATTTTCTTTCTTCATCGGTTCCAAGATCTGCTCGTCAGCTATTTTTCTTTTCCTTTGAGCTCTAGTAGAGACGGCATCAACCTGGTGAGGATGCCTATTAGATTCCTTTCTTTGTTTATTCAACAGTGCAAAAGTTCGATTGCCTAATAAATACCTTCCCTTGTCGAGTTCATTTCTAATAATGGCAGCCTTAGTTATTACTCGCCCAAGATCGCAATGTAGTTCGATCTCAGCCAATGGTAAACAGATTGGATTCAAATCTAATGGCTGCTGCATCCACACATTTTCACCTGTCAGCATTTCCGGCGTGATGTATTTGCGACAAACTATATCAATACTAGCACCTGAATCCCTTAATATAGGAATTTTATGACCATTTACGTAACCCATACTAGTATAAGGTAATAGAAATTTATCCTCTGATTTTGCACTAATTCTGTTAAGATTAGCAGGAGATTCAGTACTATTCTTAAGTTTTGGACATTGGAGTCTTAAATGTTGATAGGACCCAAACTGATAGCATTGTGGCGTTTTTCGTTTTTCATATTTATCATCTGGACGTGGACTTCTAGGTCTATGAAACCAGCTTTGCGAATTAAATCCTGATGACAATTTTTTTTCAGTTTTATTTTTATTATCTGAACTCAATTTACCTTGAGTTAGTGCATTGTATCTTTCTTTCTGCCGATTCACTACAGGCCTTTTTTGAAAGTTTCCACAAACGTTTTCATAGGCATCAAGTTTTTCAGCTAATTTTTTAGATGAAATCATCTCTACCCATTCATCAAGAAAATTATCTCGAATTTCAGGAGGAACTCGACGTTTAAGTTGGTCAAGCACCATCAAATCTAGCAACTGATCAAAAGTCTTAACTCCTAGACCAGTCACCCATTCTTTGCAATAATTTTCTATTTCATAATTGAAATCCACCCATGTGGATTCGGTACTTTTTTGATGTTTCATAAATTTTTGCCTAAACTTTCCGGACTTAATTTAAACCGTCTTAACAATAAATTTTTCATGTTGTTCATAGTCTTTAGCTTTTTCGGAGGGTTCTCTAGCTATTAACTGTGGTTACTTCGTAAGGAAGTAGTCCTAGTAAATGAGATACAAATTCTTCTTTATCAATTTGAGCACCATTCTGCTTGCCTTTCCAAACAATAGCAAATATAGACTGATATCTCCCTTCTTGTCATCGAATTTCTGCATAAGGTGACGCAGCTCCGTTTTCGGCCGGACCTGTCCGATATTTTGAGACTTTGTCTCTGCTTTCAAGTCTTAATCTCTCTTAATTCATACTGGTTCGTTCCTTCTTCTCCGCTCTTCTGCTTCTTCCTGCCTCCTACGCTCTTCTCTTTCCTCCATCTCTTTCCGCTCTTCTCTTTCCCTTTCCTTCCTTTCTGTCCGTTCTTCTTTTTCCGTTCTTCTCTTTCCCTTTCCTTCCTCTTTTCCATCTGTCTAAAACTCCTTTGACGAAGACTTCATCATAATCTCTACTTTCAACAATTTTCTGTTTTAAATCAACTAGGGACAATCTTGGCAGTTTTCCAACAGGTTGGGAAGTATTCCCATCGTAGTATGATATTCACTAACTTGGTGAAGTTGAGTATTATCTTGACAGGGAAATGATTGATCATCTAAATCTGATAAGTTCACCATCGGCGGCATAGATCTTGAAGAGGCGAGCAACTTTCTGCAATCCCCAGGCTATAGGAAAAATAGCACTGTTCCTCCAAAAGCTAAAAAAATTAAAACGCCAACTTTTCAGGAAATCGTCGATAAATATAAAAATGTTTTTCCCAACCTTGCAAAAAAGGTATTACGGATATTGTTCGGAGCCTTAGTTGCGCCAAGGACTTGGGCGACATTTCATTATGCCAACGGAAGTAAATATTATGTGAGAAATAGGCGCTAGACAGAAAAGAAAAATATATGGGGAAAAGGGGATTAAGATGTGTTTTTGGCATCTGTTTAATAATAATTGCTAATTTGGTTTTGTTATATTGCTAAATTAGCATTAAATGTCGAGTAATGTCTATTTATGATGAAAACTCAGGGCAATTACTTTTCGATCCGATTTCATATATGTATTAATACGGTTAATTAATTAATTGACGTAGAGAAGGGCTGGATAATCAATAAAAAGTTATTCATCTTTTAATTAGGAGAGCATTCCAGAAAGATCAAGACATAAATAACTGTAGAATGGCACAATATTTTGCTTTAATTGTTAAAACAAAAAGTATTCATAAAATTGCTCTTATTTTAAATTTCTGTGCACTGTTTTTCTATCTTAAATGTCCAAATTCTTACATCTGAAATACTTTTAAAGCAGCAGATTAAAGGTCTTTTATAACTGTTAAATGCTACTTTCAGGCCTTATATATGAAATAAGCAAACGAAAACAAAAGAAAGAGAAACGCTGACATGATAACGACTCCTCAACTCCATACATCAAAATTCCAAAATGTTTGCGGTAAGTTCGATTGTGTTCAAAATATAATTTTTATTTGAAAATAATAATAAACATTTTATTCTTATTGCTAACATTGATCGTTTAATTTACTGGCTTTTGAGTTAATATTTTTTTGTGTCCCATTATGTTGTATATTCATCTATTTCTTAATCTTAATGACGACGATACAACTCGTGGTAGTGTGCATTTAATTGCATATATTGTTAATGTAACTTGTTTGGGTCATTTATGTTATTTTAAACAGTCGTTAATGCGATTATGTGAAAGGTATATTCCATACATGTTCATACTTCCACATATGTGTTTACTGTGCTCAGGTATAACATTTGTATTAGAAATCGTTTATAAAATGTTTTTATTTACTTAATATAATTTGAGTTTTAGTACCTACTGCGTGAAATACTAATGTAACGAGAAAATAAAAGATTGTAATATGTATTTTATGTAATATATAAATAAAAAGTAATTCAATAAAAGTATATTTTAACGTAGGCTTTTTATTAAAAATTGAATCTTTTAGTAACTAAGATAATAAAAGTAATAATTGCAATTTATCAAAATTTTCCATGTAGACAACGTATATCAGCTATCTATAAAGGATTTTTCGGTTCATCTTTACAATATGGTAACTGGTAGTTTGGCGACATTTTGGAGGCTATAAAGGTTACTACCTGGGACTTTGGTAATAATGTGAGCAGTACTCAGTTCCGATTACGCATTATTTTGTGTGAGGGAAATGAGAGATCATGGGATATGTCATGTAATATTAATGGACGAATTACGGTTCTTTAATCGGAAAAGGGGGGAAATCCGGAAAAAATCTGGAAATTTTGTATTTGGTTTATTCTGTGTTGTGTGAAACAGTGATCGTGAATTTTTGGATCCCATGGCCGTAACTAAAGAAAAGTTTATCGGACACGTAATCAAGATTCTGAAGAAGATTAGGTAAGTTAGTATTTTTAATTATTTGAGGATATTTTTATGCATTGTTCTAAATGTAAGGTGGAAGTAAAGGAATTTGGTATTATATTGGGAAAATTGTTTTAGCTATGATTTAGTTTAAAGTAATTAGAAACAAAAAAAAAAAAAAAAAAAAAGAAAAAAAAAAAAAAAAAAAAAAAGTAAGAAAAAAAAAAAAAGGTAAAAAAAATTTTTAATTATTTAATGTATGTGCTCATTCATATTTTAAGTAGTTGTTTTGAATTTAATTATATTTAATTAAATGATAGTTTATTTTGTGAATTTTATGTTTGTAGGAATTTGGTATACGTTTGAGTTTGAAGTAAACGTGCATGGAAATAATTTAAATATTTGATACCAAGTATTTGTAATGATTGCGGTATGAATTCGTTGGTGACGTGTATAATGTAATAGATGATTTAGAGGTAAAAGTTTTTGGATATTTTATTTATTTTATATGTGGAAATGTTCATATTTGGAAAGGGTAAATACTTTTTCGCGATCAGGTAATTTCATATATGTTCTTTTTACTGGGTTGAAAGATTGAGAAAATTGTCATGTATTTTCGTGAAATTTTTCTAATTTATGAGAAAAAAGCAGTGTACATGGATATAGTGAAGAGTGTGCGCAATGCCATTTTTGTGCAACTCTGGGATGTTTTTTTAAGTAAAAATAAGTCGGCGTGTACATGGTTTATGTATATGTGTTATTTTGAAAAATGCGTAAGGAGTATGGTATTGTGCACTTTTTCCCAATTTTGCAGTGAATATTTGTCATGATTAAGCAGTTTTGTTAGATAAAATTTCTAGCATAAGTGTAATTCGGCTAGTAGATTGTTGGAAGAAGTGTTCAGTAGATAAAAAGAAAAGAAACATGTCTTTACTTCGTGAAGACAAAATGGCGGCGGGAAAAAAAAATAGAGGGTTGCTGTATGAGAGTTGGTCGCCAAATTTTCGCCAAAAAAAACGCCAAGTTACCATAATGTAAAGATCAACCGATTTTTCATTTTGTCTTTCTCACATTTCTCTATATGAAAACCTTTGCAAATATTTAATTGCCAAAAATTTAAAAACAAAACAAAAAAAAAAAAAAAAAAAAAAAAAAAAAAAAAAAAAAAAAAAAAAAAGTAACCTTCACAGCCTAATGTTAGCAAACCTGGTAGTTGCTGTCAGGTATTTTGCATTATATTTTGTGTGATCATATTGATTAATCAGTTTCAAACGGATCCTAATAATCCAGTCGTAATTCTTAATTATCTTATTAAAAGACATTCAACCCCTAACTATCTTAATCTAATTATCGCATTTTCACTATAGTGCTCAGTGACAGCTGACAATGAAATTGTTTGTACGTTTTGTTGTTGTTTTTGTTGATACAGTTTTTTAAGTATACAAACATAAAAATATAGTCAATTTAATATATAAAAAGTTTCTGTGTTGCCCATTTTATAAAATCCGGAAGCACTTCCGCAAAGAACCGGTAAATGTAAACATTGCCAACTTTGGCGATAATAGTTCAAACCTGGTAACCCAGCAGATTCATCCTATTCAAAGGTTGCAACCATTCCTCTTGCGTTCATTTTGTTGAATTATCACTGTCGTTCTTTGAATTTGCAGATTTAGGTTGATCTTTACATTATGGTAACTTGGCGATTTTTTGGCGAAAATTTGGCGACCAACTCTCCTACAGCAACCCTCTATTTTTTTTCCCCGCCGCCATTTTGTCTTCACGAAGTAAAGACATGTTTCTTTTCTTTTTATCTCCTGAACACTTCTTACAACAATCTACTAGCCGAATTACACTTATGCTAGAAATTTTATCAAACAAAACTGCTTAATCATGACAAATATTCACTGCAAAATTGGAAAAAACTGCACAATACCATCCTCCTTACGCATTTTTCAAAATAACACATACACATAAACCATGTACACGCCAACTTATTTTTTACTTAAAAAAACATCCCAGAATTGCACAAAAAATGGCATTGCGCACACTCTTCACTATATCCATGTACACTGCTTTTTTCTCATAAATTAAAAAAATTTCACGACGAAATACATGACAATTTTCTCAGTCTTTAAACCCGCGTAAAAAGAACATATATGAAATTACATGATCGCGAAAAAGTATTATTACCCTTAACACAATATCAACATTTCCACATATAAAATAAATAGAATATCCAAAAACTTTTACCTCTAAATCATCTATTACATTATACACGTCACCAACGAATTCATACCGCAAGCATTACAAATACTTAATATGAAATATTTAAATTATTTCCATGCACGTTTATTTCAACTTAAACGTATACCAAATTCCTACAAGCATAAAATTCACAAAATAACTATCATTTCATTACAATATCACTAAACCATGTACACGTCGACTTATTTTTACTTAAAAAAACATCCCAAAATTGCACAAAAATGGCATTGCGCACACTCTTCACTATATCCATGTACACTGCTTTTTTCTCATAAATAAAATAAAAAAATTTCACGAAATACATGACAATTTTCTCAATCTTTAAACCCGGTAAAAAGAACCATATATGAAATTACATGATCGCGAAAAAGTATTTACCCTTTGCAAATATCAACATTTCCACATATAAAATAAATAGAATATCCAAAACTTTTACCTCTAAATCATCTATTACATTATACACGTCACCAACGAATTCATACCGCAAGCATTACAAAACTTAATATCAAAATATTTAAATTATTTCCATGCACGTTTATTTCAACTTAAACGTATACCAAATTCCTACAAGCATAAAATTCACAAAATAACTATCATTTCAATTACAATATCACTAGTAAACCATGTACACGTCGACTTATTTTTTTACTTAAAAAAACATCCCAGAATTGCACAAAAATGGCATTGCGCACACTCACTCTTCACTATATCCATGTACACTGCTTTTTTCTCATAAATTAAAAAAATTTCACGAAAATACATGACAATTTTCTCAATTTTAAACCCGGTAAAAAGAACATATATGAAATTACATGATCGCGAAAAAGTATTTACCCTTTACAAATATCACATTTCCACATATAAAATAAATAGAATATCCAAAAACTTTTACCTCTAAATCATCTATTACATTATACACGTCACCAACGAATTCATGCCGCAAGCATTACAAATACTTAATATCAAAATATTTAAATTATTTCCTTGCACGTTTATTTCAACTTAAACGTATACCAAATTCCTACAAACATAAATTCACAAAATAACTATCATTTCATTAAAATATAATTAAATTCAAAAACACTACTTAAATATAAATGAGCACATACATTAAATTAATAAAAATTACCTTACAATCCTAATTACTTTAAACTAAATCATTGCTAATAACAATTTTCCCAATAATACCAAATTCCTTTCCACCTTACATTTACAACAATGCATAAAAATAATATCCTCAAATAATTAAAAATACTAACTTACCTAATCTTCTTCAGAATCTTGATTACGTGGCGGATACACTTTTCTTCCTTCTCTTTCAGAATCTTTAAAATCATACTTATCTTTCAAAGCAAGATACCAGGTAAAATAAATAACATAATAAAACATCTTTATTTCTCTCTCGCACAACCTTAAAAAACATTTATTACTATCCTTTTCAATACCACTAAATACCCATTTCGAATTCACTTTAGTTACGGCCATGGGATCCAAAAATTCACAAACACTATTTCACACAACACAGAATAAAGCCAAATACAAAATTGCCAGATTTTTTTCCCGATTAAAGAACAGTAATTCGTCCATTAATATCACATGACATATCCCATGATCTCTCATTTCCCCCACACAAAATAATGCATAATCGGAACTGAGTACTGCTCACATTATTACCAAAGTCCCAGGTAGTAACATTTATCGCCTCCAAAATGTCGCCAAACTATCAGTTACCATATTGTAAAGATCAACCCAGATTTATATTATTGTTCTCTTATTTATTATTATTTTTTCTGATTTTCCACATTATTTTTCTGAATTTTTTAACA